GAAGCTCGCCACGCCCACCTCTTCCACGAGACGGCCGACCGCATGAGCTACGTACGCAAGAGCCTGTCGTCGACCTCATCATCGGCGCCCGCAGCGACGGCGGCGGGCAGCGGTGGCGTGGCGCTCGAGCGGCTGGGCGAGGAGCTGCGACCGTTCTTTGTGCTGCTGGACACCTTCCTCGACATGAACGCAATCAACTTCGAGCTGGAGGCCTTCTTCGAGAAGCAGAAGCAGACGAAGCACGCCGGCGCCGGCGGTGGCCAGAAGTGGGACGAGTTCACCGAGGTACACACACACACACGAATAATACGCACCACGCACCGCACCTGATCATGATGCAATGCGTTTTTTTGCTTCCCCACAGTTGAAGAAGAGGCTGACGGAGGTGGAGCGGAAGCTGGACGTGCTTCTTGCACCCGCATACCCGCTGTCCACACTCAAGCACAACCAACGCGACCTCAACACGGCCTACCTTGAGGGCTGACCCGGTCGAGTTTTGATTTGAAATGAGTTGCCCCAGCCTTCGCTGCGATGAAAAACTATTTGCAGTAATATTTGGCATTCAGTCCTTCGCCACCAGGGTAAGCCTGAACAGCTAAGAAATATAAGTTAGTTAAGTTAGTGTGGCTGAGTCTATAAAACATGGCACAGAGAGGATGGGGTTGCATTTCCTTGGCTTAACAGTCCCAGAGATGTGAAAGTGTTAAAATCTTGGTGGAGGAGAACAGCACTGGTGGCAAAGAGGACAGTCCACATGGCAGCCTGGCCCTGGCAGAATAGGAAGGTGCCCTGTGCTAGAAGAGGATGGCCTTGGCAATCCTGTTAGTACTTACCTCTCAGCAACCAGCACAACACCACATCACCACAGCACAAAGGTTGCTGAGATCAGTCCTCCTCAATGGGCACCTCCTCAACAGTCACCTCCTTGACAGGCACCTCAACATGGACCTCCTCAATGTGGTCATTCCACATCAGCCAAGCTCCAAGCATGTTGATGGTGATGATGAGGGTGATGATGAAGTCAAAGATGAATCTCTCTTCATTGGAGTCCTCCTCAATGTGGACCTGCTTCTTGACAGTGGCCCACTTGCACCTCTCCCTGGCCACAGCCATCAGCCTGGTGTGCATGACAGTAGCTCATCTCCAACAGGTCTCCTTGATGGCAGCCTTGGCCTCCCTGTGTTGGTGCTCCACATCAGACATTGCAGCTGCAGCTTGAGTGAGTTGGTCATAGTCCAGCTACCACATCATGGTAGCATCTGCTCAACAAACAAATCTAAGACCAATGTCATCACACAAAGTTTCTGCTTTTTGTTGAGGTGTTGATCTCTTCTTGTTGGTGCTCCAGCAGCACCTCACCTCATCTGGCAGATGGCCCCACTCCTTGGTAAGTTGTGCCACCCTTGAAGCCTGAAGACCTCTCAGTTTAGTGCTGTATGCCAGTAGTATGGGGTGGAGTCTTAAGAGTTACAGAGAAGGTGCCCACGGTTTTGCCCAAGGACCAAGTCACTGAGATCCCTTCATCACCGTCACCATCATCAATAAATAATAATAAAATTAAAATTGAAACCACGCGTGTCTGTACAGCATCTCCACGGAGTGGAGGTGTCTGGGCGTTCATGCCTAGGCGGAGGGCAGCAGCACAGAGGTGTCGAACTGAAGGAACATGGTCGTGTTCCGCGCCTTGCCTGCCATGCGCGCCAGCAACTGCTTTGCTTCCGTTGGCACCAGCTCCGACGATACCCTGTTGTGTGGGACACACCAAAAATCAGTCAAGCCGGCAATGGCGGACCCGCACACAGCGAGATGAGAAGAGGGGCGGGGCGGGGGGTACTCGTCGGGGCGGAAGGAGTCGAGGAGGTGCATGAGCTGCACGGGGTTGAGAGTGGGGAACACCTCGCGCACGATGCTCTCGTTCGAGAAGATGGAGCGGTCCATCACCAACACGTTCACCGCCTCGTTGATTCGCACCAGCATCGTCCTGCGTTTGGATGCGTGCGTGTGCGTGAGTGAATGCACACGCGCACGCACGCACGCACGCACGCACGCACGCACGCACGCACGCACGCACGCATACACGCACGTACCGCGCGGTAGCAGAGTCGATGTAGGGCGTCACGGAAGGCTGGTAGAACCACTGGGCGATCTCGGCCAGAGCGTACTTGATCTGGAATCCGTTACCGCACGTGCACAGATTCTGTGCACCGACCCCGTCGTGAGCACCCACACAAAAACAAACAAAAACAAAATCAAAACAATCAAAACAAAGAAAGAAATAAACAATGGCGTACGTCGGTCTTGGCGAGGTAGTTGAAGAGGGAGATGTCGAGCCAGTAGAAGATCTGCACGCAGAGCTGCTTGATGACGGACGGGAAGAGGTCCGCCTGCCGGAACCGCTCCAGCAGCCCGTCCAGCACCCGCATGATGTCTTCCGGCGTGTTGAGCGAGTCTGCATCATGGACAACAGAAAAGAACAGAAAAGAAAGAATCGTGACACTCGAGGTTAGGCCTGTGTCGTGGCGTGTTGTGTGTCGTGCGCGCGTAGTCGGGTCTCCATACCTCGGAGCAGCTCGTGGAGCTTGGCTGATGCCGAGCTCTTTCGGTCGGACGTGTTGGAGAACACGCTCGCCGGCTGCGCCAAAATCGCCGGCAACAGGTACGGCTCTGTACGAGCGTTGGACGGTCAGTGGCCCACCTTCGCCGAAAAAGTAAGAAAACGAGGGAAAAGAGAAAAACGTCATCGGTACGTACCGATGTCCTTCTGTACGCTGTCGAGGATGTTGCGGTAGACGGTGAGGACAGTGGCCTGCAGGCCCAGCACGAAGGCGGCGTTGGCGTCCTC